ATAAAACGCTGGATCTAGATTGTGAGTATAAAATCAGTGTATTTGACCTCCTTTTACGTTACTGAAGCATGAGTTGACGCTTTAGTTTGCGATAAAAAGTGGAGTAAATCATTGTTTTGGTCGATGTTCAGACACCGAATAATTTGGTGTGGGTTTCAACGCTTGATAGGAAGAAACCATTCAGTCGGGTTGAATAAACAAATTCTACGAACAATTGAAATTATTTCACAGCTTTGTGCTCAATTTATTTCTGTTGTTCCACCCAGACATGACCAGCCACCACCACCCCCCAATCCCACCCCATCCCACCTCCTACGTACACAATCACGTAACCTTGGATCTCTACGCTCAGTTTGAGCTCACAACCTTCAAATACGTACCCAACAGGTTCTGCTGTTTAGGGTGCGTTCCTTTGCGATGATCAGGATCTGGATCGGTGATCCAAGATAACTTGGTCATGGTGCAACGCAGGAGCCGATGAAGCCTGTCCACAGACAACCTATTTTGTCTTGAGTTCGTCGAGATCGCAGGACACGCGCGCTAAAACGCAACGTGGTGTAGCTGGCGAAATATCAATTTTCTTTCGACCGGGTGTCTCTCGCTCCGCGCTCGCTTTCACGGGCGCTCGCCTGGTTTCCCGAGCTCTACGAAGAAAAGACTTGATGGAAAAAAGGCCGGAGACAAACTAGAGCTGATGAATCTGTGTCCATAGTGGATTGATCGGTTCCTTTGATGTACCATGAACAGAGTGATCTTGGATCACGGATCCAGATCAACCCAAAGGAACGCACCCTTAGCTTACATTTTGATGAAAAGAAGAAAAGAGATTTGACTCCATACCAGTTTTCCTTTCAATTACTCGTCATGAGTTCAAGAGATTTCTATCTGAAAGACAAATTTATCTATAAACTATAAAAGGTTCTCTTGGTTTCAGCAAAAATCGAAGACCTCAAAAATATTAAATTTGTAGCACTTTTCTTTGGATGAAAACTCCCAGCTATATTTTATACTTTCCCTATTCTTTTACACCCTATATGTTTCATAATTGCTTTGGGTCCTGAATATTTTAAATTTTGAACACTGTGCGTGTTCGGATCTTAAAGTTAAGCTTATAGGCTTAAATAAGCTTGATTTCTACATGTTTCTTATCGCACATGTGAGCTTTGACAGTTTCTGAGCTCCGTACAAAATTCGAGACAAAATATTTGAAAATTACGATTTTAAAATGAACCTTACCTGTACAAAAATCGGAGTGTACGTGTCTATATCCATGTCTTTTCTGTAGGCTTCCTTGAAAAATGAAATTATTGTCGCAGAATCAACTACACTGTATCAATCGCTTTGTATGTATCGCTCATCGTAGGCATGTCAAAAAACTACCAGGCTTCCACATTTGCATGATAAAGGCCTGGTCACACATTTTCGCGCGCTTTTCAGAAAACGAAAATCATTCGGGTAGCGTCCGGCGAAGTCCGATAATTGTCATCCAATCAGACAGTGAGCCGACTGTAGACCGATTGCTCGACGTTGCGTTCCTCAGCAATGTTGCTGTCCTAAACTGCGGGCTCATTCCATCGTACTCCGTCTTGTCGGATAGGACTGCGAGATCGAAGAAATCGAAGAAGAAACAGAAGACTGAAGCACAAGGAGACATGGGGGATAGTAGTGACAGTGAGGAATTTGAAATAACTGACTTGGTTCATCAATTCATGGTCGTCACTGGAGCTGAAGATACCGTGGCGCTGAGCTATTTACAACAGTCGAGTTGGAATGTTGAGGTGTGTAGAGTGTTTTTTGCTAACATTTCAGCTTCCCCATATTCGAATCATCAAAACTTGTTTGTTCAATTTCTTGATCTTTCAGTCCGCGATTAATACGTTTTTTGACTCGCTTTTTGCCCGTGGAGGGCATGGAAGCAAGGAAAACCCTGTACTGGTGAGTGAACAAGTATTTGGGATTATAATTGATTAATTTTTTAATATTTAGTTATTAATTTTTAATTAGACTTAGTATGGCAATTACATATGAGCTTATACAATGACAAAACAACCAGTGTCATTTTACAATGTGAGTAAACTTACTGCACCTTTCAATGGCCATTTTCACACTAGAGACGGATAATCCGTCTAACCCGTCTAGACGGATTATCTGTCTGCTTCATTTTCCATCCATCTTGGTATGGGCTGTTTTCACGCTAGAGACGCACAATCCGTCTAAGACGGGTAGTATGCGGTAATCATATCAAATCGTTGTTCTTTTCTCTGTTTGTATGAGGACCTTGACTTTGTCTTGACCCAAACATAACATGACTTTGTATGATGAGTATGTGAACAAACAGAAAAAGAGAACTTAGCAAAGACTAAAATTAAATAAATACAAATATTCCTACATGTACATCTGGACCTCACACTTGGTCAATAACGTATGTTAAAATGTGTCAAAATTGTTTATCTCAGGTGTCTGAGCATGGCGATCAGTTAGCTTGCTCATCTGGAAGTGGGACAGTGGAAAGGTAANGGGTTCTTTTTGCTTTTCAGGGGTCCTTTGCCTATTTACTAAAATTTTCAGAACATTTTTCCTGCCTCTCAAGGATGCACTTTGCCAAATACTGTGTGTCCTTTTCATTTTTTGTGCATATAAGACACACACCTGTGTGTTAATGGGTACTCTGTCTCAGTTAGTAAGAGACATTTGTGTGCAGGGTAAAAAGGTTTGAATTTATTTGCTGTGGATTCACTGTCTTATTTTAAGGTATTCCTGCAAGTATGGGCCAACTCATGCATACTTTAATATATTACTTCTCAAGAACTCGTCGATTAAAACAACAGATGAACTTCATTGTACATATTTCCAGTCGAGTAAAATGGGACGACATCTGCTTTGTCAACCAGTAATGCACAAGAACAAGACTGAACTAATTCTGATGACTTCACACCTTGAGAGCACTGCACAGTGCAAAGGCGAACGGAAAAGACAATTTGAACAAGTCTTAATGAACATGAAAGAGCAGCCACCACAAGCCACTGTAATATTTGGTGGCGATACAAACCTCCGTGATGCTGAGGTGTCGTCAGTTGGGGGATTGCCAAGTGGGGTAGTGGATGCATGGGAGGAATGTGGAAGGCCAGCAGATTCCCAGTTCACCTGGGATACGAGTATTAATGACAATCTTGACTGGGCATATCCTAGGAAGCCAAGAATACGGTTTGACAGGTTGTTTAAGAGGTCTGCACAAGGCACACATGCCTTGAAGGCAACAAAATTTGCATTGGTAGGAATGGAAAGGCTAGCAGGGTGTGGGAGGTTTCCTAGTGACCACTGGGGTGTGTGGTGCGAGTTCTCTCAATCAAGTAATGAGAAGTAGTCAGATCAGGGGAAAAAAAAACTTTTGGGTTCATGGTTATCAGTCACCAAAATCTGCCACAATGGCAGAGTGCAAAGAACTCATTATGAATATAGAACTTGTCCTAGACCCAGGAGGTGGGGGGGACTCTCATATAAAAAAGACAGGGGTGCTCATCGGAAAGTTTGTAAAGAACCCCTAACAGGTACCAAGATCCTGCTTTGTGAGCGTGGCTTGAATTTTTTTCACCCCGCAAGGGGTACCAAATCTGAGACAAAATTAAATTCAGGTTATATTTCCTGTCAACTTTTTTTAAGCTCAATACCCTAAAAGGTACTGCAAAAGCTCCCACTGTGGACCTTTTAAGGCTGAACACCTTAAGAGGAATGAAAATCGTTTCTTTAACACCTAACAGGTACAAACACCACTGTTCCTTTTACATGGTAGTCCCCCCGGCCAGGGATCCTAGACTGTGTTACTTAGTTGATGTACTCTCTCCACACTTCATGTTTACTCTTTCTGCCTGTTACATGTACTAAACACCTCAGTGTTGTCATATTGCATGTAACACCATGCACATTGCTCAGGAGCAGTGAAGATGGGGTGGACAAGTAGTGGTTAAACCTTGTTAGTACATGTACCTTTTACGCGCGGTTCAAACATCGCACTTTTGCATTAGATTTGAGACGTGCTAGTTTGACATCTGAATCAAAGTCAAACTTTTGCCATTCTATTTGACTATCATAGTCATATAGCAGGGGCCAACCCAAATACAAATGTGATAGTACATGTAGCTGATTCAGATTTGGAACTTTACATATACCTAATAGTGACATAAGGATTGGCTCATTTGAAGTTTGACATAATTTTTTGAGCAGGACTGTAGAATTAACATTTTGTTGTGGTTTTGCATGAACAGTGTTAGAGTTTTCCATTTACAGGCATGTGTACCAGTACCTACTGTAAGCTAGAAAATTATGTCACATGTAAATGCCCTGATATGATGAAGTCTAGATTTGACATGCTTATTTTGGGATGTACTTCTTGGGGAAGAGCATTTACTTCTTGAAACTAGCCGTATCAATAGTAATTTGACTCAATGCTAAAATTATTTGACATTTTTATTGGTATTTCAACATAGCATACATTGTGTACATGCTGTGGTTCAATTTCTTCCTTTGTTCTGGTATGTGGTAATATATTAAAATGCACATGAAACAAAGGAAAATATCAAATTGTACCAAGGGTTACATTGAACTACCACATACACATTCACTTGAAAGTGCCACTAATTATACAATTTCCCATTGGAAAACTGTAAGTTTCAAGGAAGTGGAAAACAAAGTTATAGGATGTTGGCTGTTTGTGCCTAAACCAGTGTAGTTCATATCTCAAATCGGTTCAGCCAGCCTCATGTTTGACAGCTGCAGATAACACGTTTTCAATTAAGTGTCGGAAGTAATTGGGCAATTACTTTGGTTGTGGTTTTACTATGGTTTGAGATTGGCTGAGTACTCTAGTAAGTAATAATATTGCTTTGGTTTTAGTTTTACAACTCTCAATTGAAAACTACTCTATGGCTAAGTAATTAAAACCGAAGCAATGGTTACCAGTACATCATGGAAACAAAACTAATCAATTACAACTTAAGCCAAAATCACAACACACAAAATTAAAGGCTGTAAAAAGTAATTGTTGTTCTAAATTGACATTAAACCTCCAACAATTACATTGTATAATTGATTTGCTTTGACAACTCCCCTCCCCT